GTTATTTAAAATGCCTTTGATAACAACACTGACTTGACAAATCTATCATGAAGAGGGCTATTAATCAACAATATCAAATAGCTTTTTTCACTTTGGCCATTGCATTTCCTCTGACTACAAATAAGTAGCTCCCAAATTCCTCAGGTGCCAAAGTCCAACTTGATCTGGCCTCAGCCTACTACTTTTCCTACCCTGTATTTTCATGTCTTCCATCACAGACTTTCATCCTGGCTCATTTCTCAGCTCACCCATACCTGGCACTCTCTACTTTTATGCCTTTGTAGCTATTTGTTCTGCAAGAGTGATCTCTTCTGGCTGTTCTATTCAAGGTTTGCTTCAACTCTCACTACTTCTGAACATGGAATATATAATAAATATCAACTATTATAAGTAAAATGATTAAATAACAGGATAGTGTTTGAGATGTGAAGTGTAGCCACTTTCTTAGTTCTATACACACAAATATAAGTTTAATCTCCCAGAACAATGTTTCCTATCTATAGAATGGGAAGATTAGAATTTTCACCACCATGTTAATTTGAAGATTAAAGAAGTTGCATTTTAAAAGCACAATGTTGGGGCCAGCGCTGTGGCACAGCGGGTTAATGCCCTGGCCTGAAGCACCGGCATCCCATATGGGCACCGGTTCTAGTCCCGGCTATTCCACTTCCAATCCAGCTCTCTGCTGTGGCCTGGGATAGCAGTGGAAGATGGCCCAACTCCTTGGGCCCCTACACCTGCGTGGGAGACCCAGAGGAGGCTCCTGGCTCCTGGCTTCAGATGGGTGAAGCTCCGGCCGTTGCGGCCATCTGGGGAGTGAACCAGCGGAGGGAAGACCTATCTCTCTCTCTCTCTCTGTCTCTACCTCTCTCTGTAACTCTGTCTTTCAAATAAATAAAATAAATCTTAAAAAAAAGGCACAATGTCTGCCATTGATTAACCAATAGCAACTGAGTGCTAACCCTTTTGAAGCGCCATATACCAATTTGTATCCAAGTTATTCATTTAAAATGTCATAAAAGTATCTCTGAATCTTTTTGTATGAGTATATTATCTCTCTTACCAGATATTTTTAATTTATCTGGCTAAAATTTATCTGTTAAAGTCCACGTTAGGACTTCAGAAACAGAAACCAAAGACTTACTCAGGTGTTAGAAGACTAACAGTGCATTTAGGAAGTGGCTATTCCCTGAAGGGCTTTATGGGACAAGAGTTCCAATAGAAAGGCCCAGGAGCTTGGAGAAGTAGGCACTCACAGTTGGTACTCAGCTCTCTACAGGTGGTATCATGTAGTTGGTGCTTATGCTAACAAGCGGCACAGCTGGCTGGTCCTGGTAGCCAATAAGGGATGTGGCACAGCTGGTGCTGAGCACGCCAAAAGAAACCAAGGCTCTCCTTGCACGTGTTACCTTTCAAAGGAAGCACACTAAAAGGAACTGCAAATAAAGAGCAAGTCCTGTCTCTTACCTCCCTGCCAACCCATCTCTAGTTGGCAAAAACTAACAGGAAGACAGCTGGCAAGGGAGTCTGGAAATGTAATTTCAAGACCAAGTCCTAGCATCCCAGAGCATAGCATAAAAGGGTTGGTTTGGCACTTGGGAGCAAAAAATAAGTAATCAACACAGAAAGTAAATTTGTTAAGGTCAAGGCATTTGTTCCTTTTATACAGCCTTCAATATAAAAGGTATTCCATAGGTATCACTGCTGATTCTTTCGCAATAGACTTCTCTCTTAAATGAATTTGGATTATCAACTTCAATTAGGTTCTTTCTTTAAAAGAGTCTGCTCTGATTCTACATTGAATAAGATGCCTAGTATAACATCAATGTTCAATAGATGCCGTTATTTAAAAAATTAATATAATAAGTCATTTCATTAACATCCAAGTCCCTCATCTGAAATATCTAGTTGTTTTTGGAGTTGGGGTCACAGCTTGAGCTTAAACTGTTTTTTATTTTTTGTTTTATATTTTTCCTGCCCTGCAAGTTGAACATGTTTGGGCAGGTCTCCAGAGCTGGTTAGAACAGGCCTATTTATCAAGGAAGAAACAAATCATCCTAAATGAAGAGAGATATGAAAGGTCAATTGCCAAGTCTTAGAGGAAAAGCTTAGTGGAACTTGTCTATTTCACGATCTCACGCTGGAGTCCCAAAGCTGCAAACAAATTATATGATCAATGTTTCACCATGATGTCCATGGGAGTTTGGGAGCTGAAGACAACAGTTATAGGAGATTATGTCCATGGAAAACTTTAGCTTTCATATAGGCATTGGGGCAGCATAAGTCAGGGAGAGGAAGCCTTGGTATAGTCAGCAGAGTTTCAGTGTAGAGCTTTGTTGGCTTGAGAGGCAACAAACGGCAACACTTCAGTGAACCAGAGGAGGAAGACAGTAAATGAAATGCAGCCTTCTAGAAGACTGATTCTTGGAGTGTACCTTTGCAAATCCCTGGGGATTCTTAGAATCACCTGGAGAAGATTTGCGTATGAATGGGGGACGAATGTGAGAACTCTTGAGACTTCTAGTACAATCCTGTTTTACTTTATTCTTACTCTGCTATAGCTGGGGAAAATGAGCTACATTTAAATTTATAATGTCTCAAGTCATTAGCTTCTCTAATTTGAAGTTGAATGTTTATTTGATAGAGTCATATTTCATTATTTTTTAAGTAAGGGTCACTTACTTTTGCTTTCTTTTAGTAATTGCAATTATTAGCAGTAATTAATTTTTGCTATTGGGTTTTTAACATAATAGTACTGGGTTTATGTCTTATATGTATACATAAAGAAAATAAGATGGAAGCTCAGAAGTGCCTTAACTTTTAAAAACTTTATAGATAAAAGTAAGAGATAAGAAATAAAACTTAACCTTTAATTTACAAATTACTTCCCTGGGTTTTCCCATTAATATACATCATTATCCTTATCTAAAGACTATCTATGTCATTTTTACAATATAATTTAAAATGATAAGGGCAATTTATTATTTCATTTGTGTATGGTATATTGTAAATATCTTATTGTATAAAGATATTTTCTCTATCTACCATGAATAGGTGGTTGATATATCTGGTAGTTTTAAGAATGTAAAGATTAGTAAATCTTTACCTCTGAATTTGGGGAAGAGATTTCTGAAGTTTGGCAAATCACAATTGAAATTTAGGTTATCTGAATTTCCATGTCCTAACACCTATATTTTATTTCTACTTTTTCCAGATTAAGATTTCATTGTTTAAAAAAAAAGATTTTGTTGTTATCTCTGTAAATGATTGCTCTGGTTTTGAAATTTGCTTTTGTTGTGGGGGAGAAAATAAAAGCCAGGTAGTTTGGGAGATACTTTTTAAAACCCAAGTCATTTTCTACCTACTTATTCTTATTGATTCCTATCTCCTTCTTCTGTCTTTAAAACTGATTCAAATGTCATCTGGTTATGCTTGATAATGATCATAGATAGTGTGTTCAAACCCAGGGTGGCTATCAGAGTCTCCTAAAGCTGTACAAAACATCAAAGAGCTGTTGAAGTCCAAAAGACAGATATAGAAACTTTTTTTTCAACCTAGAAAAAATCCTTATAATCTGTGTATTATTGTATAGCCCCTTTAGATCAGGAAGCTATTCAATAAGACTGGCCAGTAACCAGATAAGTCTTTCCCCTTTTTGGAAGTAAGAACTGTCCTCCTAGCATTGCTTTGAAAGTATATCAGTAACATTAACAAATTTGGATTACTAAGATTATCATGTTTGTGACTAAGGAATTTCTTGGTTTTTCTCAACTAGTTTCTCTATAAAGAAGAACAATATAAAGGACTTGAGCCATAGATGGGCAGTTTTCTTGAACAACTGAGTGTACCCTAGTTAAACTGTAGGTCACAAGGGGGAAAAACCTCATTTGCAAAAGTCGGCTGATGTTGGGGTGGGTTGCCCTAAGATGCTCAATGTATGGCCCATGGACTATACTCACCAAAATTTCTTGTAATGCTTGCAAAACAGATACCTGAATCAAATCTTGGAGTGAGGAAGAGGGCTTAAAGAAGTACCCCAGGTGCTTTTATTCATGCCAACATTTAAGAAGTACTTCTCTTGGATATTTGGTTTAGGCAATCACTTTAACAGACCTTCTCATTTTTGAGATTAAAGCTAAGGCCTCCATCGCTATTCTGGATAAAAGTTAGGAAAGAAAACAAAGAGACATCGCTTTGAGTAACAGTAAATTAACAAGTATTTGGCGATTGCCCCTGGTGGCTTTGAAAAGAAGTGCTGTTCAGGGGACCCAGAAATTCAGAAAAATGTGGAGAAGGTTCTTGTTAGAGTGAAGGAACATGGAAAATTAGTGGCAGTATGAAGTCTAAGGAAAATGATAGCCAGAGAGAAATTCCCTGTGGTGTAACTGGCCAACATTCCATGTGTGAATACTTGGTTAATGTCTCTTGCTCCCTCTGTGAGGACAAAGACTATGTCTGTGTTGACTTGCATAGTGGCTACCATGTAGAAGGTGCCCAATTACTATTTCTTGAACAATTCAAGATTGTTCCTATCTTGGGCCTTGTTTCCTTTGATTTTAGGGAAAGAGCTGTCCCATTCCTGGGAATACATAGTGAGTAATAGCATGGCAATAGGATCAGGAATTTAGAGCAAGTGTTGACCCTGGGCAAGTTTCTTCCCAAGTATCCTTGGAAATGTGGAGGAAGCTTCTGGAATTCCCAAACATCCTGAGGTCATAATTATCCAGGACATGCTAATCACATAGTATCATCTATTTGTTAATCATTAGGCCTATATCTGGCATTCTCACATATTATGTTATTTAGTTCTGTAAGGTGGGAATTTTATTCCTAGTTTAGATGAGGAACTGAGGTTCCAGAAAGGTCAGATAACATGGCTAAGATCAAGCAATTAGTCAGTAAAAGAGCTGGGATTCAAGCCCAGATTTACCTGATTCCAAAGGCAGTCTCTCCTCCCCTACATACCACACTCCTCCTCAGAGACAAACACATGCTTTTGGCTGCTTTACTTGGTGTACCTCCCTCCAGGTCAACTGCTTCTTCCTCTTCCAGACTTGCACCTAAAGAAAGGACAGCGGCAACAGAATTCTCTTTGTGTTCACAGTGAGGACCCCAGTGCTACTTGGATGATTCGAGCAGCACAACTCCCCTACCTCAATCTACTGTCCCATCTCTCTCCTTTCATCAGCAAACTTTTCCCTCAAAACGTTCTACAAGACAAATCTCTACTTTCCATTTGACTTCTTCATCTGTCCTCTCTCTTCAACCCATATACTTTGTCAAGAGCTGTGCATAGGCCATTGTTGTCGTGCAGCAGGTTGGGCTGCTGCTTACAATGCGAGCATCACATAACAGGGCTCTGGTTCCAGCTCCCTGCTGATGTGCCTGGGAAAGCAGCAGAGGACCGTCAGAGGATTGGGCCTCTACAGCCCACATGGGAGACTCGAATGGAGTTCTGGGCTCCTGGCCTGGCCTAGTCCTGGCTGATGTGGCTATTTGTGGAGTGAACCAGAGGATGGAGTTACCGCCTTCTCTTTGTGTCACTCTGCCTTTCAAATAAATAAATCAGTCTTGAAAACAAAATAAAACAACTGTGAATGGTCTGAGATTTTTATTGTCCTCCTCCTTGCCAGCTAACAACTTACTAATAACTTATGGATGGGTCAAAGAACTGTATTACTTTTAGCATAGCAGCTGGCAGCAGTGTCATGTTCACCCAGGTTTCATTTGGAGCAATGAGTGGTTCCACCTGCAGTAGATTCCTGTCACAGTTAAGAACCCTGAGCTTAAGAAACCCTCAGTCTTTTATAATGGGAGACAAGAAAACTTATTCTAGCCTTACCTCAGAAGTAGCATTCTCTTTATTATATTGGATGGTAAACAGATGTGCCCTCTGCTCTGGCGGGGGACATTAGGTCTATTTTCCAAGGCTGTTTGCCAAACAAAAATCCTTGAAGAGACAGTCTAGAACAAAAGCTATTAGTGCCTCTGTTCACAAGATGTACAGATATATAAAAACTAAGGAGAACTGTCTCTCAACACTTTCCCGCATCTCTTCCCAGTAATCATACAAAAAAAAAAAAAAAAAAAAACCACTTCTGAAAATGATCAGTTATCCAACAACCTTCTAGAATCCTGGAAGAGACCTCAAAGAATATCCCTGAATTGTTCAGTAGTAATTGGGCACCTTCTACGTGGTAGGCACTGTGCAAGTCAACACAGACATAGTCTTTGTCCTCACAGAGGCAGCAACAGTCATTAACCAAGTATTCATACATTCACACATGCCAAAATGTAATACAAACTGTGGAAAGTCATAAGAAGGAAAGGTAGATGATGGTAGGAAAGTTGACACCAGTAACAGGTCTTAAAATTGTCCTGAGAGGCTAGAAATGTTTTTCCCAAGGATGTCCCTTTCAAGCTGAAACCTGAAGCCCAAGTGAGATAGAAGACAGTTAAAAGGGGGAAGAAAGTATATATATAGAACCTGGGGCTGCTGGGGTCATAGGACATTAAAGAAACTCAAAGAAGCCTGGTAAGTCTTTTGTCCAGGAAGCATTGGGAGATGAGACTGGAAAAAGAGAGTGGGGCCAGACCTCACACGGTCTGAAAGACCACCTTAAGAACTCCAGTCTTGGCCGGTGCCGCGGCTCATTAGGCTAATCCTCCGCCTGCACCCCGGGTTCTAGTACCACCGGTTGGGGCGCCGGGTACTAGTCCCTGTTGCTCCTCTTCCAGGCTCTCTGCTGTGGCCCAGGAGGGCAGCGGAGGATGGCCCAAGTGCTTGGGTCCCTGCACCCACGTGGGAGACCGGGAAGAAGTACCCGGCTCCTGGCTTCGGATGGGCACAGCGCCAGCCGTAGCGGCCATTAGGGGAGTGAACCAACGGAAGGAAGACCTTTCTCTCTGTCTCTCTCTCTAACTCTGCCTGGCAAAAACAACAACAACAAAAAACTCCAGTCTTATCCTAGAGCAGTGGGAAGCTGTTTATGAGTTTTATGTAAATCATATTTGCTTTTTGAAATATCATTTTTGTTGCAACAAATGAAAGCAGGGCCCGAGATTGTGTACAGTGAGATCAAACTAGATCGGTAGTGATTGGAAAGAAGTGGGCCAAAGACATTTTAGAGATAAAATTACCATGAGTTGGTGCTGCAACAGATGTGAGGAATGAAGGTGAAGGTGAAGGAGACTTCAAGGATGGCTGCCAGATGCTTGATTTGAACAACTGGGTAGATGAGGGAAATGAAAACAAAGAGTTCATGAACTCTATTGGACTAAATTTGGTAACTTTTGAGACATTATGTGGACATGTCAATGAAGCAGTAGGTATCAAATTTGGAGTGCAGGGGAACAATTTGTACAAGAGGGAAATACATGGAAATCATCATTAGAGATGATAAAATCATTGTGGTGGCTAATGTTGTTTAGTCCACGAGATTACAAAGAAAACAGGAAAGAACTTAAATGTGAATTTTGAGTTCTTATATTTAACAGCTAGAGAGAGATAAGCAAGAGCCTGCAGAGGAATTAGAGAAGCAGTGTCCAGAAAATGCAGCACCAAAGAGACTAGAAATGTTCAAGGACAAATAGTGCTCAAAGTATTGTAGTGATGGGAGTTGAAAATGGCCCTTATTTGATTGATAAGGAAAATGAAGCATTGTGTAGAGAAGTGATTTGATCAAAGCCAACATAACTTACTGTCCCTCTCTGTGTTCCCAGAGAACTTAGACTGGTGTACAAGCTAGGGTCAATTATGTGTATATTTAATTTTCTCCACAGGACATAAATTCCCCCAGTCTTTGCTTAACTGAACCTCATAGCCTACCATGTGGTTGACCACAGTGTCTAAGGCCATTTCAAAGACATCCTGCATTATGCCCAACTCCCCTTCAAAATCGCTGTTCTTGGGCAGGTTTTTAGCCTAGTGGTTAAGATGCCTACAATCCACACCAGAGTGTCTGGGTTCAATTCCCAGCTCCTGCTCTTGACTTTAGTTTCCTGCTAATACACACCTTGGGACGCAGCACTGATGGCTCAAGTTACTGGGTCCCTGACACTCATGTGGAAGACCTGGATGTAGTTCTTGGTTCCTGGTTTGGGCATGGCCCAGTCCTGGCTGTTGAGAGAGTTTGGGGAGTGAACCGGCAATTAGGAGTGCTGGCTCTTGCTCGCTCGCTCTCTCTTCTCTCTCTCAGGAAAGAAAACAAACAAATAAAATAGCTGTTCTTCCTCACTCTGCCTATGCATGAATGCCCAGGGACATACATACTTCACTAAAACATTCTTTTTTTTTTTTTTTTTTTTTTTTTTTTTTGACAGGCAGAGTGGATAGTGAGAGAGAGAAAGGTCTTCCTTTTTCCGTTGGTTCACTCTCCAATGGCCGCCGCGGCCGGCGCGCTGCGGCCGGCGCACCGCACCGATCCGATGGCAGGAGCCAGGAGCCAGGTGCTTTTCCTGGTCTCCCATGGGGTGCAGGGCCCAAGCACTTGGGCCATCCTCCACTGCACTCCCGGGCCACAGCAGAGAGCTGGCCTGGAAGAGGGGCAACCGGGACAGAATCCGGCACCCCAACCAGGACTAGAACCCGGTGTGCCGGCGCCACTAGGCGGAGGATTAGCCTAGTGAGCCGCGGCGCCGGCCCAAAAACATTGTTTTTAAAAATGCTATTTCTTGGCTTCCCTATGAACAAAGAAATCAGAATCCTAAGGGTGGATTATAGGATTCTGTATTTTTATAAAATTCCCAAGTAGGAAGTTTTGGGAATTACTAGCTTAGAGTTGAGTTTGGAAATTCCTAGCCTAGTCTCAGGCCAAAGAGAACTGGGCAGCCAAATGGAGAAGCCACGCAGCTAACCTACACTCTGATAAATCCTCATATTTTAAAACAACATACAATTACACTTCAGTTATTCTAAGATCTGCTTTCCAGCAATTTTGTCTGGAAGAAAGCCAAATTTGGAAGTTTAGGAAAACAAACATTTCTTGCAGGGCAGAAAATTTTGATGGTGAAGAGCTATGAAAATATCGCAAGATACCTTTAATACACAGTCACGCGCCTATTTCCTGACCCGAAGAAAAGGAACGTCTCACTAGCTGTCTACGGATAGAAATATCCCATCATTCATCACCTGGGGCCATAGCAAAAAAAAAAAAAAGCAGAGAAAGGAGAAAAGAGTAAAAAAAAATTAAACAGTAAAGTGGAAAGGTTGAGAGGAAAGATCAGAGTGGATAAAGAGGATGATGAGGAAATGACAGATATTAGAAGAGGCGATGAGAACATTCCCAAGGCCATGGGGGGAGGGTGCGGAGGAGCGGAAACCGCACCAAGTCAGGATTTTATAAACCTCAGCATTCCCCTGAGACGTCAGCGTGCGACAAAGGTATCGCTTTTGATAGCCGGCCACAAAGGATTTCATTAGGCATTGTATTCTTTAAGAAAGTAGAAACTACATACTTTCAGAGGTTTCTGTAAAACGGTGTAAAAACATGTTGCTAAAAAAAAAAAAAAAAAAAAAAAAAAAAAGGCCGCACGCTTAATGAACTGAAAGCCAGACCCGGAGCTGGGTTACCTCTGTCACCCTCACCGAACGGGTGGTTGCTGGGGTGGGACTCCCGTCCCCAGGACTCCCCCTCCCCAGGTCTTCCGGTGGAAACCGCCGGAGCAGGCAGCCTAGACCAGCCCGTGGGCACCGCCGCAGCGCCCCCAATTGCTTGAGGTTTAAGGAAATCTCTGCCGCGGTCCCTCGTAAGTCTTCAAGCTGTTGTGGAAATTAAGGTAATGGGTTTCCACGCGATGTGGCTGCCGCAGAGACCAAGAAACGACCCCACATGTTCTCAACGGAAGCCAATCTTTTAAATGTTTGTGCTTGCTATCGAGATCCCGGGCTCTGAAAGTCTGCGACTGGGAGCATCCAAGCCCTCTTCCGTTGGCTTCGCAGTCCTTGGAGGGGTTGGGGGAGTGTCTCCACAAGCACCTGCCGGCGTTAAATTCTGGTGCTTTCGGAAAGGGGCGGACAAGGTGCGTGTCGAGAGGGAGCCTTTTTAGAATGTGGGTTGAGTATTGAGCGAGCGGCCCTAGGAACGTCAATGAACTACACGTTTCCTGAGTGTGGCTCGGAGCCAGGCGCAGCCGGGCCTCGGGAGAGAGGGAGACGGAGCCGCGAGTCCGGGGCTAGGTGGGCGCTCCGGGAGCGGCGCGAGGGCGCTGGCACGCCACGCGCCGGGGCTCCGCGGGGACTCGCACCCCGGGGAGAGACCCGCGGCGGGCGCGGGGCGGGGGCGCGGGGTCCCCGCCGGCCCGGGGCGCCGTCGGCAGGGCTCGCGCAGCCGCACTCGGCGCGCCGACCCTGGGCTCCTCCTCCCGGCTCCGTAGTAAGCATGGCGGCGGCGGCGTTCGTGGTCCCTCGGGTGAAACAGAAAGCGGGAGCTACGCGGAGAGGCAGCGAAGAGCGAGGCTGAGGCAGCGCCGTCACTGCCGGGAAAACAACCCCAACAGTCGGCGCGCCGGCGGCCCCGAGAGCGGGCTCTGCCGCTGAGGTAGATCGCGATCGATCAGGAACCCGAAGAGGCGCCAGGGGAGCCGCCTTCCTCTGCCTCAGAACGGCGGCGTGACTCGGAGGTGAGAGCGCGGGCGGCACTCCCTCCGCGAAAGGCGGGCGACACTGAGCCGTCCCAGCCCCGTCCCGCCCCGGAGCTGGCGCCGCGGAAACCGTTAGGCTGTGGCTGAGGGCCGGGGCGCCCGGCGGGGCTCGGCCCCTTCTAGGGCGGCCCGGCCCATCCCACCCCGACCTGCGGGCTGAGGGGCACGGAGCCGGGGGCCGGACCCGTCTACTAGTCGGGCACCTGTCGGGGCCGCGCCTCGCCGGGGCGAGCCTGCGGGGGCGCGCGGCGGTGCGGGGGCGCGGGCGGCCCTCCCCCGGGGCCCCTGCCTCCCCCACGGCGGGCAGCGCAGCTCCGGAGGGTGTGCGGGGCGGGTGCGGAGCCCTCTGGAGGGGATCGCCGGGCGCTAGCTGCGCCGCGGGGCTTGGGCCGCCCGGCAGCCGGCGACTTTTCTGAAGAGAGTTCCCCTCCCACCCCATTCCACCCCCGGCTCACCTTGGGGTTAAAACCTCGAAAACCCGCCCTTCTGTGTTTGATCTGTGTGGCTGCTGCCAGTACCCAGCCGTTCCTCTCCCCAGGTGAGTTAACCACCTGTGCAGTCGGGAGGTGGAAGCGAAGCTGCAGCCCTCGCCCTGTGTAACCACCTGGATCTTTGAACTTTTGACACGGCTTTGGGAGGACGTCATGTGTTAGGTAAAGGAAAATGGGCAGATATTTTCTTTATCAGTTGCGAGTAGAACAGTCGCTGTTTTAATGAGCGTAGTCGTTGATCGTCTCTCTTACTAAACTGTGGAGTTGAAAAGCCTTGGGCTATTTTAGGGGGTGTGTGTAATGATTGCTGGGGGTGCTAGGGGTCGTGAATTAGATATTTCTTTCGTTTTTTTTGGGGGGGGGGCTGAGATTTTATGTAAGTTCCTTCGAAAACCTTGATATGGGACCACCTGTTAGCTAAGAATAGCAGGTATAATCCTCGGTCTGTGTTCCCGATGGCTTTTAAAACAGCAGCCTAATATTTTGCATCTTACTGAGGTCTGTATTTTTAGTTCTTGAAACCAAAGTGTGTGTGTTTCTGTATTATAAAAATAACATAACAGTTGCACTCTTTCTATAGTATTTTATCACTGTGCTGTTACCAGTACCAAACATATGCCACTCAGGAGTTTGAGCCATATGTTAGGCAGAAACAAAATGAGTTTTGGGGCTGTAATCTTGAGTTTGGATAAATATTTAGTTTTTGTGTATTGGCTAAAACTGTAATTCTTGCCATCTTGTAAGTTTTGTTTAAATCGCCTAAAAATGTTCAAGAGAATTGAGTCCTCTGCCTGCTTGATATTTTCTTTGAATTAATTTTTTCTCAAGTGTTGAGATAGAGTGTCACTGAGACAGATGGTGGGCCTAACAGAAATAGTGATAAAAGGAGGATTTCTGACGTGTCTTTTATAAATTACAACCCCAAATTTTGCTTTTAGCATTTTAACCTGCTAATGATTCTTGCTTTCACCAATAATATCACTGATTAGTGGGAAAAAGAGATGGTGACATGACAGGAAAAATCTTGTTAATGTTTTATTAGATTTTATATTTAGAATTTTGAATACTATCATTAAATTTTACTGTGTTTCACTTCATGGATCATCTCTTAGTTTTCCATGTGTAGGTTAACTAGAAAATGGTTTTATTCTGGGCTGGCCACCTTTAGCCACCTGTATGCTTCTGAATTCCCTCTTCTCCCTTTTTGTCTAAATCCTGCAAATCATTGAATACTCAGGAAAAATAAACTCCTGATTACCCCTGGCCTCAGTCAAGCATAATTATAAGGGTAATTTGCTTCTCCCAAATTAATGATATGCATTTGAACAAACAGATTTCTTTGGTGCCATCTGTGTTGTCACTTCCTCTCTTCATGTGAGTAATTAAGAGCAGATCTATTTTATTTTGCCATGCATTTTAAGGATAATTTTTTGTCAGATGCCTATGATATGATATTGAACTTATTTTTTTTTTGCTAATTAAGAAAAAAATTTCCATCATCCCTAACCAGACATAGGTAAGGGCTGAGAGATTATGTTAAAAACCAAGGGAAAAAAAGGAATGTGTGATTAATATTCGTACCATCTTTTGTGACTTTCCTTAGGCAAAGAGCATTTAATTTATAATCTATCCATTTTAAATTTAGGCTTATGAGTATTATTTATTCTTGTTTAAGAACATTTATGTTTGCTTATGTTCATAATTCAAAACTTGTGCACCTTATATTTTACCTGTATTTTAAATACAGTGTGATAAACTAACCAAATGATTTTTAAAAAAATTCTTGGTTCATTTTCCCAAGAAAACAGTCTAGATAGAGCCTTTGAGAGTGATGTAAAGATGTGCATGTAAGTGCCAGTGTTATTAGCCAGGTAAGCAAAAGATAAGGATTGCTATTTATTTTCTTTCTTTCTGTCTTTTCTTTCTTTTTTTCCTCCTTCTTTAGCACTCTGTAGCAGACTTCAAATAAATTCACAATATGATAAATGCAGAGATTTAGAATACTGTGCATATCTACTGCGTTGAACTTTATCACATTACAAAACAAGAAATATGGCCCCTGTGTGTGTCAGTGTCAAGAGCTGCTTGTCTAAGGGAAATTAATGGCCAGTAGTATTGCAAGGCAGATTTTACTCTTTTACATATATTGTGAGCTTTTATAATTTTCTTAATATTTCTGTTAATTTCATTTCAGAGTGTTAGTCGGTTGTCTCTCTCTCTCTCTCTCTCTCTCTCTCTTTGGAAGATTTATTTATATTTGAAAGGCTGAGTTACAAAGAGAGAGGGAGGGATAGAGAGCTTCTCTCCACTGGCTCACTCCCCAAATGGCTGCAACATTGGAACTCCATCCAGGTCTCCCATGTGGGTGCAGGGGCCCAAGGACTTGGGTCATCTTCCGCTGCTTTCTCAGGTGCATTAGCAAGGAGCTGGATATGAAGTGGAGCAGCGCAGGCCCAGTGATATCTTTTTAATCTCTTGATTCTTACCTTTCAATCCTCCCACTATTTTGTTTTTCTTGTCTTCAATCTGTGCTATCCTTTTTAAGTTTACAGTGAAGTCGATGGTTTTCCATCAGTTTCCTTTATGGTGTCATCTTGATATATTTTCCATCACTTGTCACAGATTACCAGTCCTGAGGCTACTTTTTTCTCCAAGATAGAGAAGTGCACTTGGGAGGTGGCATCTGCTCAGAGGATGATGAGACATTACAGTGGAGATAAAAAAGCAGTATAATGGGTTCTCTCCTCCAAGTACTTTATAAAGTAGTTGGGGATACTAGACTAACAAAGTAGCAAACAAGATAAGATGGTTTTATTAAAGTTTGTGCTGCCATCTTTAATGGGAAGTGCAGTCAGAGAGGGCTAGAAGAATCTTAAGAGGCATTTTGAGGAAGTCAGACTTCAAACTTAGGAAAGATTTATGTGGCAAATGGAAAATTGTTCCCTAAGAGATTGACAGGCTGAGTTGGAAGTAGTAGAGTATCCAAGGACAAGTATTACAAGGAAGAAAAAAATTAAGTTAGGTAGAGGTTTTAGGTAAGCTGTGGGACTGGATCAGAAGAGGAATAGGCAAGGCTAGACAAGACAGCTTGGCTGTGTCATTAGGAACTCATCACTGAAAAAAACTACATCTACTTTGACATATTAATAGCTTAAGTTCTGTGTATACTGGATAGCTCACACATACTAGCTTAGGTAGCTTAAATTAGGGGTTGACAAATTTTTTTTCTGTCGAGTATTAGATGATAAATATTTTAGGCCTTGTGGGCCATTTACAGTCTCTGTTGAATATTTGTGTTTGTTTATTGTCTTTTAAAAATATAAAAACCATTCTTAGCTCAAGGACCAAACAGAAACAAGCTGTCTGTGGGCTAGATTTGGCCTGGGGCTCAGTTTATTGACTCCTGGCTAATAATTGGCTAGGTAATAGTCCTTATATACATATTGTTGAAGCTTCCTCTATTATTTGGTTTGTATGGTTGTTTGGTGGCTATTACTGTGTGTTTTCCTTATGTTATACTAAATATAAAGAAAATATGCTAAAATAAGTACTAGTCTTATTATTTTGTGACCAAACTTCTAGCAAGAGTCTAGAATAGATTTTAGAACTAGGAAGTGAAAGAAGAAAAGCCTTTGAGTCAGGCCTTATGGCAGTGAAAATAGCCACAGTGGTTTGATGCAGAATTTGTATAAGATTAAGTATATTAACTGCCTGTGTTAGTTTTACATTTTTTAGAATGACAGCTATAATTTCAGAAGCTATGACTTTGGGTGCTGTTAGTCTGTGAATAAGAGCAAAGGAGCAGGAAGTAGGGAACTTTGTTTTTGAAAGTAGTTTAGGATGATTTAGAGAAGGGGCAGTTGGATAACATCCTACAGTAACTCTGGGAAGAGTCACTATGTTAATGGAACAGCCTGATAATTGATGTTTATATTGATGGGTTTGAGGCATCAGAGTCATATTATCAAAATGCAAATTTGTACATCAAAGTATAGATGAAGGCAAGGAAGGAAAACCTAGAAATTTCAAACATTTCCACTAAGATCAGTGTAAGATAAAATATGGCAATTTAAAGAATAAATGTTATTTTGAAAATTCATTTATATGAAATATCACTTCTAAGTTTGTAAATTTATAGATGTGTAAGTCTAAGGTAGTTCTATTTCCTTCATACACTGCTTCATGTACCACTACCAGGTGAATTGCAGTGCTTCAGGTATGGCTGCATGAATCAGTTGGCCAGGGTTATACTATATTTTGTGGTATCAAGGGAGCAAGAATACAACGTAAGAGCATTCTTTTATTCAGTGGACATTGCTAAATACATTCTGTGTAACAGGGTAAATATTGGGCACCGGATAAAGTAAAGATGTATAAGATGGGGAGCTGTTTGGATAGAATCAGTGGTGTTTCTTTTCTCCCCTTAAAAACATTAAAACCAACCAAACAAGCAAAACCACAAAACCTAAGTTAACTTTTGTAGTTTTACTTATTACTAGTATTTTCCATGTTTTGTAACTGTATAGATAATGCAGACTTTTTAAACTGAATTTTAGCCTTAATAAACTGCTACTTAATAAAATTTTTTAAGCTTTGTGCTTTAGAATAGTTTTAAATGTACAAAAGTTGTGAAGTAGTACAAAGAGTTCCCATTTACCCCAAAAAACAGCTTCCCCTAGTATTAATGTCTTAAATTAGTATATATTTGTCACAATCTGTAAACTTAATAAAATATTTGACTTTTTAAATTTTGCTTTAAGGGGAAATAAACACTTCATGCTTCCCCTTCTCCTTTTGTCAAGCTTGAAACATCCTCACCATTCCAGCTATTTCTATTTCCTAAATAGGAGATAAAGTACCTTGGATAGTGACTCAAAAGCTCGATCTTAGTTCGAACTTTGCCACTTTTTGATGATTATTTCAGGTTAATTTTTTTTCATTCTTGGTT